TTCTCGTTATAAATTTAGTGAGCTGCTGCTGTTGTTACAGTTTTCCAGGTACAGTCCTCTTGAAGAACCTGCTGATTCTCTAGCTGTGGGGTTTTCTCCCAACAGAGAAACTCAGTCTGTTATCCTGGGGCACACAGTTCTGTCCGGGAAAGTGAGAGGAGTGCCAGCAATCTCTGGGCTGAGTGCTCTGCTCTGGACCTAGAGAATGTGCACCTCGGTTGAGTTGGCACCTGGGGGCGCTGCTCTGGGCTGGAGGCTGGGTGCCTCAGCCTGGACTGGAAGCTGTGTGTCCCTGTCTGGGATGTCGGCTGCAGGCACTGCTCTGGTCCAGATGCTGTGGGTGCAGCCCTCTTGTAGGACCAAGGATTCCCACAGTTTTGACAGTCTAGCTAGGGATAACTGGTTGATCCTTGGCACAGTATCTGAGGGCTGCTGTAATGGCTCTCTGGCTTTTGTAAGTCTGAGGATGATGCAGCTGTGTGCCCCAGTGCCCTAGGGGTACTCAATAATGTCAGCTGAGCACAGCGCTCCTGCCTGCAGTAGAAGGCTAGAGTCTAGAGTCTGCGTGAATCCAGAAAGTCTTTTGGTGATGGGTGTCCTGAGCATTAGACCTGATGATCCCCTCCCACTGGGGGTTTCCTCCTGCCAGAGACACCCAGTCTTTGCTTTGGAGACTGCCATTCTGTCTGAGATGGCGGCAAGTAGAACCCACAGGCACAGGCACCCGCCCCTTGCTCTGCCTTTCTGGCCATTGGGAGCCTGGACATCTGCCTAAACTGGGTAATTTTCCTGAAACCTTTTCGGGGTGGTGGTATCAGCTGAGTGCTCTGAGATCAAACCAGCCGTTTCCCTCTCTGTGGGTTTGCACCCAACGGTGAAACTGAGTCTCTGGTGCCCTGGTGCCCACAGTTCTATCTGAGGCAGCGAATCAGGTGTGCAGGTCGGGCTCTGTGCAGGCACCTGGGTCCCCAGCTCTGGCTCCGGGCTGGCTCCTGGGGCGCCCGCAGAACCTGAGTCTTTCCCAGGGGATGTCTGGGTGACCTAAGATTGGTCCCAATCATTTCTTGCTCCGTGGAGTTATCTCTCGACTGAAAAATCCAGTCTGTGATGTTGTGGGCCCACAGTTCAGTCTGGGACAGTGACCAGATCACGCTGGCATGTAGCTTTGGGTTGGCGACCAAGCGCCTGGTGGAACCAGGATCTCTTCCTCGGTTTAGCAGGGTGAGTTAAAGCTGATTTAATCCCCCACCGTGGGGTATCCTCTCACCTGTGAAACACAATCACTTGTGTTTTATGGCCGCGAGTTCTGCTTGCTGGTCACTGTGCTAATCCTGCTGTGCTGCTCCTCAGAATGAGAGTCCTCCCGGCGCTGCCATCTTGCCCCACTCAGATGATATCTTTTATGTGTTCTTGGAATTGGTTTACCAGTATTTTATTGAGTATTTTTGCATCAATGTTCCTAAGATTGATAGGTCTGAAGTTCTCTTTTTTTGTTGGGTCTTTGTATGGTTTAGATATCAAGATGACTGTGGCTTTGTAGAATGAGTTTGGTAATGGGCTTTTTTTGGAAGGGAGACAAAAAAAAAGTGTGTGTGTGTGTGTGTGTGTGTGTGTGTGTGTGTGTGTGTGTGTGTAGATAGATGATAGATAGATAGATAAATAGATAGATAGATAGATAGATAGATAGATAGATAGATGATAGATAGATGATGATGATAGATAGATAGATAGATAGATGATAGATAGATAGATAGATAGATAGATAGATAGATAGATAGATAGATGACTATCAATCTATTTACCTGATCTTGATTTATTTTTGGTAAATGGAATCTGTCAAGAAAATTGTCCATTTCATTTTGATTTTCAAATTTTGGGGCATATAGGCTTTTGTAGTAAGATCTAATGGTTGTTTGGATTTCTTCAGTGTCTATTGTTATGTCACCCTTTTCATTTCTGATTTTGTTGATTTGGATAATTTCTCTCTTCCTTTTAGTTAGTTTGGCTAAGGGTTTGTCTATCTTGTTGATTTTCTCAAAGAATCAGCTCTTGGTTTTATTGATTCTTTGAATTGTTTTGTTTCTAATTTATTGATTTCAGCCCTGAGTTTGATTATTTCCAGTCATCTACTCCTCTTGGGTGTGTCTGCTTCTTTTTTTTCTAGGGCTTTCAGGTGAGCTGTTAATTTGCTTGTATGAGAAGTTTCCAATTTCTTCTTGAAGACACTTAATGCTATGAATTCTCCTCTTCGCACTGCTTTCATTGTGGGTATGTTATGCCTTCATTTTCATTGAATTCTAGTAAGTCTTTAATTTCTTTCTTTATTTCTTCCCTGACACAGCTGTCATTGAGTAGTGAGTTGTTCAGTTTCCATGTGTGTGTAGACTTTTTATTATTTGTTGTTGTTGAGGACCAGCTTTAGTCAATGGTGGTCAGAGAGGATACAAGGGATTATTTTAATCTTCTTGTATCTGCTGAGGCTTCTTTGTGACTAACTATATGGTCTATTTTATAGAAAAAGTTCCATGAGGTGCTGAGAAGAAAATATACTCTTTTGAATTTGGGTAAAAAGTTCTGCAGAGGTCTATTAGAAATTTGCAGGCAAATGGTGGGATCTAGAAAAGATCATCCTGAGTGAAGTATCCCAGAAGCAGAAAGACACACATGGTATATATACTCAGTTATAAATGGATACTAGACACATAATATAGGATAAACATACTAAAATATGTACACCTAAGGAAGCTAAACAAGAAGGAGAATCCTGGGTAAGATGATCAATCCTCACTTAGAAAGACAAATGGGGTGGACATTGGAAAAAGGAGAAAACAGGACAGGAGCCTACCACTGAGGGCCTCTGAAAGACTCTACCCAGCAGTGTATCAAAGCAGATGCTGAGACTCATAACCAACTTTGGGCAGAGTGCAGGGAATCTTATGAAAGAAGGGAGAGATAGTAAGACCTAGAGAGGAAAGGAGCTCCACAAGGAGAGCCACAGAACCAAAATATCTGAGCACAGGGTTCTTTTCTAAGACTAATACTCCAACCAAGGACCAAGGTCCATTCATGGATATAACCTAGAACCCCTGCTCAGATGTAGCCCATGGCAGCTCAATATCCAAGTGGGTACCCAATAAGGGGAACAGGGACTGTCTCTGACATGAACTCAGTAGCTGGCTCTTTGACCACCTCTACCCCTGAGGGAAGAGCAGCCTTTGCCAGGCCACAGAGGAGGACATTACAGCCAGTCCTGATGAGACCTGATAAGCTAGGTTCAGATGGAAGGGAAGGAGGACCTCCCCTATTAGTGGACTTGGAAAGGGGCTGGGATACAAATCAAATAAAATGTAATTAATGTAAAAATAAAAATTTAATTAAAAAAAAGGAACCTCAAGAGTAAGCAGAAAAGATAGTCTTTACTGGTTTCTTTTTATTTTTAATTACACTTTATTTACTTTGTATTCCCCCTTTAGTTCCCTCCCTCTTCCCCTCCTAATCCCTCCCTTCCTCCCTCTTCTCCACACACACCCCTCCCCAAGTCCACTGATAAGGGAGGGTTTCTTTTTATTCCTTCTGATTCTAGTCTGTTAGGTCTCATCAGGAGTGGCTGCATTGTCTTCCTCTGTGGCCTGGTAAGGCTGCTCCCCCTCAGGGAAAGGTGATCAAAGAGCAGGCCAATCAGTTTATGTCAGAAACAGTCCTTGTTCCCATTACTATGGAACCACTTGGACACTGAACTGCCATTGGCTACATCTGTGCAGGGGTTCTAGGTTATCGCCATGCATGATACTTGGTTGGAGTATGAGTCTCAGGAAAGACCCCTGTGCTCAAATTTTTTGGTTCTGTTGCTCTCCTTGTGGAGCTCCTGTCCTCTCCAAGTCTTATATTTCCTACTTCTTTCATAAGATTCCCTGCATTCTGCCCAAAGTTTGCCCATAAGTCTCAACATCTACTTTGATAGTCTTCAGGGCAGAACCTTTCAGAGGCCCTCTGTGGGAGGCTCCTAACTTGTTTCCTGTTTTCTTCTTCTGGTGGTCCATCCTCTTTGCTTTTCATGATGGGGATTGAGCATTTTAGCCAGAGTCCTCCCTCTTGATTAGTTTCTTTAGGTGTGCAGATTTTAGTAGGTTTATACTATATTATATGTCTATGTGAGTGAGTATATACCGTGTGTGTCTTTCTGCTTCTGGGACAGCTCACTCAGGATGATCCTTTCCAGAGCCCACCATTTACCTGCAAATTTCATGTTTTCCTTTTTTTTCATTGCTGAGTAATATTCCATTGTGTAGATGTACCATTCTTCAGTTGAGGGGCGTCTGGGCTGTTTCGAGCTTTTGGCTATTACAAATAAAGCTGCTATAAACATGGTTGAGCAAATGTCCTTGTTGTGTACTTGAGTGTCTTCTGGATATATGCCTAGAAGTGGTATAGCTGGATCTTGAGGAAGCGCTATTCCTAGTAGTCTGAGAAAGCTCCAGATTGATTTCCAGAGTGGTTGTACAAGTTTACATTTCCACCAGCAGTGGAGGAGGGTTCCACTTTCTCCACAGCCTCTCCAGCATGTGTTGTCACTTGAGTTTTTGATCTTGGCCATTCTGATGGGTGTAAGGTGAAATCTTAGGGTCATTTTGATTTGCATTTCCCTGATGGCTAATGATGTTGAACATTTCTTTAAGTGTTTCTCTGCCATTTGATATTCCTCTATCGAGAATTCTCTGTTTAGTTCTGTTCCCCATTTTTTAATTGGATTACTTGATTTGTTTCTTTTCAGCTTGTTTAGTTCTTTATATATACTGGATATTAGTCCTCTGTCAGATAAAGGGTTGGTGAAGATTCTTTCCCAATCTGTAGGCAGTCGTTTTGTTTTGATGATGGTGTCCTTTGCTTTACAGAATCTTTTCAGTTTCATGAGGTCCCATTTATTGATTGTTGCTCTTAGAGCCTGTGTTGTTGGTGTTCTGTTCTTATGTCTGCTGAACTACTGGATTTTCTCTACACAGTGAACATGACCTTGGATGTAGACACAGCCCACAAACAACTCATTATCTCTGATGACTTGAGGAATGTCTACTTTGGGTCTAAGAAGCAGGACCGAAAAAAAAGTTCGAAGAGATTCCGCATCTCCACCTGCGTCCTAGGCTCCACATGGTTTACTTCAGGACGCCATTACTGGGAGGTAGTGGTGGGAACCAGCAAGGAATGGGATATAGGCATTTGCAAAGAGTCCGTTAATAGAAAAGACCCGATTAAACTGTCAGATGAAGAAGGCTTCTGGACTGTGGGTGTGAGAGATAGAGAGGTCTATGCTGCCAGCACTGAGCCCTTGACTTTACTCACGGTGAACTCTCGGTTGCACAGAGTGGGAATTTTTCTCGACCTACTAATGAAGAGCGTTTCCTTTTGGGACCTTAGCGATGGCTCCCATATCTATACATTCTTGAATATTTCTGACACAGGTCCATTTCGACCATTCTTTGCTCCAGCAAATTCATACCCAGATGATCAAGAAGAAACCCTTAGTATCTGTCCTGTGATGAATCCAGGCATTTTCAGGTGTCCAGTTAACCATTAACAAGGAAAAAATCCTTGATCATGAAAGCTTCTATGGGAAATTGCTGTGTACTCATAACCATGGCTAAGAGTTTTTGGGTTTGGTACACATAGGGTACAAAAACATTACAGAAATCTATGGGGGGCATGAAGAATACTAATTAGTTGGGGAAATTTATAATTTTAATATAGTTGTTTTATATAGTTGTTTTCTTTGGAATTTATGTTTAAATTTCTGTTCCCTTCATATAGTGTGAACTTTTAGATAAACTTAGATAAAATGTTTTCCTTTTTATTTGCCATAATATTAATATATTGTGTTGTAGAATAAATAAATTAAAATTTTAGATATGACAGGCAGTGTGATTGGTTTTTCTAAATGACAAGGAAATAAGTAAACAGTAAAAAAGAGAAGTGTGTATATGTGCTGTCTCACCTTACAACTTTTTAACATCACAAATTCATGTCACATACACATTGAATACTCAGTAAGGTAGGTGTATGCAGTTATTAAAATGCTAAGTTTTAAATTAACTTCTATCACTCTGGGGGCTGGAGAGATACCTCAGTGGATTGTATGCTTGTCAAGCATGGGGACGTGAGTTAAATCCGCAGAACACACAGAAAAGAGATTACGTGGTGGGGGAGACTAGAGAGACGGTCACTTGGTGGTTAAGCGGACTTGCCGCTCTTCAAGAGGACTCAAGTTCAGTTCCCAGCACCCACATCAGGCAGCTCCCAAGTGCCTGTAGCTCCAGCCTCAGGGAATCCAGTGCCCTCTCTGGCCTTCATGCCCACTTGCATACATGTGCACATGCTTACACGGACATACCACATATGCACATAAAAACAATATCGGTCTTAGACACAATTAGGTAATGCAGCCTAATGAACAGCAGAAGTGGCAGCTTGAGTACTGCGACAGCAAGCAAAAACACAAAATGGCCAAAAACAATGACTTATAACTTTAACTCCAGCACTTGGAAATATCAGCCAGGAGGTCTACAAGTTTAAAACCAGCCTGGATTTTGAAATGTGTTCAAAGCCAATGTAGGCAACTTAGTGAGACCCTGTCCCAAAAGAAAGAGGGTTAGAAATGAAGCTCAATTAAAGAGCACCTGCCTAGCAAGCCTGAGACCCTAGGTTCAATCCTCAATCTCAAAACAAAACAGAGGGCAGGGCTGGGTATATGATTCCATGGTAGAGCATTTACTTAGTATTTGTGAGGTCCTAGGTTCAAATCCCATCACTACACAAAAACCAAAATTTTAGGTCAAACATAGTAGTCTACCCCTAAAAAATCAGAACTTGGGAGGTGGAGTAGGAGAATAAGAATTTTAAAGTCATCTCTAGCAACATAGAGAGGCCAGCCTAGGCAACAAAAAAAAAAAAAAAAAAAAAAAAAAAAACTTAATGCTAATGAGTTCTGATCAGATGGAAAATGTGTTAAACCCCAGCAATCGGGAGGCAGAAACAGCTGGATCTCTGTAAGTTTGAGGGCAGCCTAGTCTACATGAGTTCCTGGACAGCCAGGGCTATGTAGAGACCCTGTCTCAATAACCAGAAGTCAAAGAGGGCCAATGAGAGTAGCTCAGAAGAGAAAGGTGCTTGTTTCCAAACCTGATAACCTGAGTTTGATTTCTGGTGTCCATAAGATAGAAAAAAAAAAAAAAAAAACCTGATTCCCTCAAGGTACCTCACACACACTACATGTGATCGAATTTTTCATTTCATGCCATCAAATTTCTAGTCCCATAATTTCCACCTGACTTTTATTAAGTTATTAATTTACTTTACATCCCAATCACAGCTTCCCCTCCCTCCCCTCTTCCCTGTCCCTCCCTCTCACCTCATACACCTCATCCCCCCCCATACATGCATGCATCCACCCTTCCTTCCCTTTTCCTTAAAGGAGGGCAGGCCTCCCATGGATATCAACCAGCCTAGGCATATCAAGTTGCAGTAGGACTAGGCACACCTTTTGTTATTAAGGCTAGGCAAGACCTATAAGGAACTCAGGAAACTAGACATCAGCAAACCAAATAACCCAATTAAAAATGAGGTACAGATCTAAACAGAGAATTTTTATTTTAATTATTATTTATTCATTTTACATCCCAGTCAAAGGCCCCTCCCTCTCCTCCCGGTCCTACCCTTCCTCCCTGTTTCCCTATTGCCCCTCCCTACTCCTCAGTGGAGAGCCCCACCCACCCCAGCATATGAAGCTGCCTCAGGATTGAGCTCATCCTCTTTCCCTGTAACCTGGCAAAAGTGATTGACTAGCAGGCAACAGAGTCCACATCAGAGTCAGCCTCCATTCCCCTTACTAGGAAACCTATTTGAGGACCGAGCTGCCCATCAGCTACATCTGTGTAGGAGGCCTAGGTCCAGTCCATGCATGGTCCTTGGTTGGTGCATCAGTCTCCACAGGGCCCTCTGGGCCCTGGTTAGCTGGCTCTGTTGGTTATCTTGAAGAGCTCCCTAAAAAGAGAATTCTGGACAGAGGAATTTCTAATGGCCAAGAATCACTTGCTTAACAACCTTAGTCATTGGGAAAATGCAAATCAAACCAACTCTGAAATTCCGTCTTAAACCTATCAGATTGGCTAAGATCAAAACCTCAAGCAACAGCACATGCTGGAGAGGATGTGGAGCAAGGGGAACCCTCCTCCTTTGCTGGTGGGAGTGCAAACTTGCACATCTTCCTGACTTTTGTTCACCGGCCTGAGTTTAGTTTTTGGTGGGAAGGGGAAGGGGGTCCTGTCATAGCGTACACATGGAGGTCAGAGAACATTCTCTGGGAGTCAGCTTTCTACATCCACCATGTAGTTCCCAAACGGAACTCAGGTGGAGGCTTGGCAGCGAGTGTCTTTTCCCACAGACAGGCCACCCAAAAGTGGAATAAGGTGGATGATACTCCAAAGACTTGGGAAAGGAACAGGTCTGAGCTGGGTAAACAGGAGTGACGTACGTACGTGTGTGTGTGTGTGTGTGTGTGTGTGTGTGTGTGTGTGTGTGTACAAACCTATGGACAATGAGGGTGACAATACTTATTTGCTCTAACAAAGTCCCACAGGTTGGGTGACTTGAACAGCGTAGATGTATTTTCTCAGTTATGGAGGAGAAAGTTCAAAGTCACATGTCAGGGTTAGTTTCTCTGGGGCCTCTGTTTCGTTATTTAGAGCTTTGGTCTTTTGTCTGTGTGTCTGTGTCCTGATCTCATCTCTTCCTTTTTCTTTTTCTTCTTCCTCTTCCTCTTCTCTTGATACATATGCCTGTTAATTAGCATAAAGTCATGACACTTTCAATTTATTAATGAGTGTATTATCTGTCAGTTTAATTAACATAAAATTAATGGGTTTCATTATGATTTTCACTTTATTGGTGTGTGAGTGTCCTAATGTGCAAGCGTGCATGCACATGCAAGAGCCCACAGAGGCCAGAAAAGGACATCAGACCCCTTGGAACTGCAATTACAAGTGGCTGTGAACACCTCACAGGGGTGCTGGAGACTGTACTCCAGTATTCTGCAAATGCTCCTAAACTGCTGAGCCACGTCTCCAATTTTTAAAAAACTTAAATTTTTTTAGTGTGTGCCTGCACACTACACACACATATGTACTACAATGAACATTCGGAGCCAGCAGACAGCTTGTGGGAGTAAGTCCTCTCCTTCCACCATGTGGGCTCTGGGAATCAAACTCAGGTCCTCATGCTTGCAGCAGATACTATAACCCTCTATACCACATACCTGGCCCTCATCATAACATCCTCATAAATACTTTTTTCATTTCCCTTCTCAGTCCCTTACCCATCCCCTTGTCTCTGTTCCTGTTGGTCTCCTTCCTCCCCCAATAGTACCCTGATGTCTTTTAATGAGAATATGTAACCTGCTCACGTTGGAGTGTTTCATACACATATTCCAAAACTGTCAGGGTTCGGGTTAGGGGTAGGGTTAGGGACAGGGTTCGGGTTAGGGTCAGGGTCAGGGTTAAGTTAAGGTTTGGGTTAGGGTTAGGGTTCTGGTTTGGGTTAGGGTTAGGGTTTGGGTTCAGGTTAGGGTTAGGGCTAGGTTTTGGGTTCACATTAGGGTTAGGATTAGTGTTTGGGTTAGGGTACAGGTTGGGGTTGGAGTTTGAGTGTGGGTTAGTGTTAGGGTTAAAGTCAGGGTCAGGGTTAGGATTCAGGTTAGGGTTCAGGTTTGGGTTTGGATTACGGTTAGGGTTTGGGTTCAGGTTCAGGTTAGGGTTATAGTTAGGGTTAGGGTTCCGGTTCCAGTTAGGATTAGGATTGAGATAGGGTTAGGGTTCGGTTTAGGATAAGGGTTAGGGTCAGGGTTAGGGTAAGGTTTAGGGTTAGGGTTAGTGTTAGGTATCAGGTTAGGATTAGGGTTTGGGTTCGATTTCTGTTAGGGTTTGGGTTACTGTTAGGGTTGGGGTGTGGTTATGGGTTAGGGTTTGAGATAGGTTTCAGGTTAGGGTTATGGTTAGAGTTAGAGCTAGGGTTGGGTTTAAGGTTAGGGTAATGTTTAGGGTTAGGGTTTGGGTTCAGGTTAGGGTTAGGGTTTGTTTTAGGCTTAGGGTTAGGGTTCTGGTTAGGGTTAGGGTAAAATTTAGTGTTAGGATTAGGGTTTGGGTTAGGGCTAAGGTTCAGTTTTGTGTTCAGGTTATGGTTAGGTTTAGGGTTAGGGTTAAGGTTCGAGTTCAGGTTAGGGTTCAGGTTAGGGTTAGGATTAGTGTAAGGGTTAGGGTCTGGGTTCAGGTTGGAGTTAGGGTTCAGGTTAGGGTTCACATTAGGGTTAGTGTTAGGGTTAAGGTTTGGGTTCACCTTCGGGTTCAGGATAGGGTTAGGTTTAAGGTTAGTGTTACGGTTCAAGTTAGATTTAGTGTTAGGGTTAGGGTTCAGGTTAGGGTTTGGGTTAGGGTTCGGGTTTGGATTAGGGTTAAGTTTAGGGTTAGGGTTAGCATTCAGATTCAGATATAGGTTAGGGTTTGGGTTAGGATTTGGTTCAGGTTCGGGTTA